GGTGGTAGGACCTGAATTAATGAGATTTACTTATACTATATTAATGGTACTCTGTGGGAACCTGAGAGGGTGAGGAGTCACTGGGGAGATGTAATTAAAAATAGGAAAGAAAGCTGTTTATTAGAAAATAACTGTTGGAATTAGTTTCTTAAACAAGTTAGTAAATGTTATTTCTCTGTATACCTCAGTCTTTCGCAACTACAAGATTTAATGCAAATATTTCTTTAATGGACCTACCCTTTGGAGCCCGGCTCGAGTTTTGTCAGCTCATTAGTTAGGTGTTTGGCACTCGGGTCAGCCAGGAACACCTTATGTTTTTTGAAGTTCCACAGTCCTGGAAAACCAGGGCAGTGCTAATAAATGATATTTGCTGTGTCTCTTCCTTTTTGTTTCCTCCACCCTGTGCCTTGTTGGGGGATGTGGCTAGAGCGTATAAGCTTTGCCGAGCTCATGCGGCAGTGCCCGAGCGTTGTAAGCTGAGTGGCTGTCGTTGAGCTGCTGGAGTTGGACACGACGCACGCCTTGCAGCAGGCGATGGGCAGCTGCACCCCTCTGCAGTTGGCACGCTTGCCCTGTGAAGTCCTCACCTGGAGGGCGGGGGCAGGGTTGATGCCGAGGAATTGTAACTCTGGGTGGGATGCTGTGGGACCTAGGAGACACTCAGCCGCGGCTCGCAGTGTCTGCGGCTCCTTTCGCGCACTGGCCCATTCAGAAGCATGAGTTAAGTCTGTGCTCAAGGACAGTTTGGTCGGTTCAGCACAGATTTCTGTACTTGGCATGTGGAGGGACGGCCACTGTGCTAAAAGATTCATAAAACTAATATCCTTTGTCTTCAGAATGACTCTGGTTTCTATTGAGAGTTTTCTGGTGAGAGCTGTGGTGAGTAACAGATGTACACCCAAGAGGTAGCGCAAGTTTTGTATTCCAGTGACAGAAAACTGTGATTTATAAGAATTTAATGAATGTCTTCTGTGGCTGCAGTGTGCAGACTTGGTAATCCACTCAGTTACCACATTATATTTTATTTTGTTCTCCAAAGGGTGTCTTGACTTTCACTTGCCTCCTCTTTTGCTTAAAAAAGAATTTTCAATTGAATAGAGTTGTGTTAGCACTCACCCGAATCTCCTGTACGCTGTTACCATTGTGTTTTTCTGTCGTTCAGGCGCAACTCCTGGTAGAGGCAGGTCCCGTCTGGGGACGTCCCACCACCTTGATAATGATGGTTTTTACCAGCCCCTCATCCCAGCCAGGCCCCTGGGCATTACGCAGATAATTAAAATCAGAGCTTACAAAAACTTTAAATACAATATACCTTAGCAATGAGATTTTTTTTTTCTACTCTGAAACATGATTTTAAAACCCATTTTAAAAATGCATTTTCTTGGCCTAGTGAATTTGCACTTTTTTTTTTTTCCCAAGGATTACAGAAAGTGCATAGCAAATTCAGCCTTCAGAATACCCAGGAGCTGAAGACTCAAGTAGGCTACAGCTGTCTTCCCCCACAGTATTCTAAAAGAACTAATGAGATGAGAAGTCTGCAGCTGGTGGCAAGCACAATAAACCGTGAGGCAAGGGCTTCTCTTCATCAGGGCCTCCGCTCTCCCCACGGGATCCCAGAGGAGACAGAGTCCTAACAAAGGCAGCAGGCTGTCTCCTTCCACACTATTGCTCATTTGCAGCTATAATTGGTAGCTGAGGTTGCATTCTGTATGCTGAAATTGTCATACATGAAGGAATATATTTGTTCATTGTGATAGGGATATAAATCGGGCAGTTCTCAAGTACGGGAAGCCGGAGCCAGATCCCAACCATAAAATTGTAGCAAAGATAACACTGCTAAAAAGAAAAAAAAAAATGTAAATGTTGTAGACATGGAAAACTCAGGTTGTTAAATCTATACCTGCTTCCTGCCCTTTAGTGTCTTGCTGCTTAATTCAGCTGATTAAACATTTACATATTCCAAGTAACAGGAAAAAAAAAGACACGAAAAGTCCTCGGCTTTGACACAATGCGTTATCCTCATCTGTCAGGGTTCAAGTGCTATTGTTAGCAATTGGGCTTGGTTATGTTTCCAATATAATATCTTTAATGTTTGCTGTTTTGTATTCAAGAGGAAAAGGTGGAGAGAGGGAACACTGTGTGTGTGTGTGTGTGAGAGAGAGAGAGAGAGAGAGAGAGAGAGAGAAAGAGAATACACACCCATGCCTCCTGGGAAACCTGGCCCCGCCCTGGTGTTTCTGTCACTGGTTTGGTGGCATCTTTTGACACCTTTCAGCCTCCTGTGTGGTGAAGCCAGTGTTTGCCCGGGGTGGTAGGGGGTTCGAGTTAAAGTCCTGGGGTGGATGAGCCACCTCCCCTCCATGAGGTGAGAGGGTTTGGGTAGTCTGTAAGTTGACGTCTTGATTGTGTGGGGCTGTGGCTCAGCAGTGTGGGCAGGAGCGGCTTGCCCTGCTCTCGAGGCTCAGAGAAGGACTTTGGGAATAGTACCCTGGCAAGGCCTGGAGCTGAGACGCCCACCACCCCGTCCGCCCCCCATTTTCTTTGGCTGATGATGCTGCGTCCAGTAGGTCAGCCCACTGGGGAGCTGAGCTCAGGAAAGCATGTCAAAGCCGCTGCCTGGCTGCCACTGCCAGCTCCACCGCAGGTGCCTGTCACGCCTCGGCCTTCCTCCAAGTCCTCTCCAGTGAGCTCCACGTGAGAATGTGGCTGACAGTGGCTATGGCTCGGACTTCTACTTCTTTTTTTTATTATTAAGATTTATTTATTTTTATTGGAAAGGCAGATGTACAGAGAGGAGGAGAGGCAGAGAGGGAGATTTTCCGTCTGATGGTTCATTCCCCAAGTGGCTGCAACGGCTGGAGCTGAGCCGATCCGAAGCCAGGAGCCAGGAGCTTCTTCCGGATCTCCCATGCAGGTGCAGGGTCCCAAGGCTTTGGGCCGTCCTCGACTGCTTTCCCAGGCTACAGGCAGGGAGCTGGATGGGAACCAGCACCCATATGGATCCCAGCACAATCAACGCGAGGACTTTAGCCACTGTGCTATCACGCCGGGCCCCAGACTTCTTAAATCTGCTGTTTATGTCCTGCTTTTATAGAATGCTCCCATTTTATTCCTTCAGCCCTTGTGAAAATTTTGTGTGCCTTAGGCTTGTGAGTTTTCTTCCACGTGGGGAGGGTGGGTCTAAAACAGGTAGCTCTGCAGTCTACTTCATCAGTGCAGATACCTGCTAACTTCCTCATAAATCCCCAAGTGGACTTGCTCCGCAGCCTTGGCTGTTGGCCGAGTGCTGGCTTCTTAGTGGTGGGGCAGCTCTTGGAGTGAGCATTTCAGCCCTTGATGCCTGGAGCTTCAGTTACCTTTTCCTTGTTGACTGCCTTTCCTCCAGCCACCCTGGCTCCTTATGCTCCAGAGGCTCCTTCACTTTGTGAACACAGCCTTCTGTGTGGTGGCCGTCGAGGTGACATACCATCGTGAACCGCGGCCTCGTGATCGCCTGTGTAGATGGTTCTTCTGTTAGTCAGAAGTGAGGTTGGCAACTCGGGGGAGAACTCCCAGCGACTGACAGCAGTTTTCTGATGACGTGCCCGGGCCAACAAGGGAGCTGCAGCTGTCCGGCTCCTTGGCGGGCATCTTGTCCTGGCCCCTCGTCCCTGGGCGAAGCTGGAGCTGCCGCGCGGTGCGCGTTTATCTGCAAGCAGAAGATCCATGAGCCAGCAGTGTAGGGCTGTCGAATGATGGTAGCTCTCGCTGGGCCTCTTGTACTTTCTTAGACAACCTGTAGGCAGGCTGCAGGCTCAGGGTCACACACTCAGGTCTACCTGCCTTGTTCTCTCCCTGAACCTCACATCTTCCACGTGCGATGTGTTTATAACATTCTGTGGAGTTCGTAATCTGCCGTGCGCTTATGGAGTGACGCAGGTGCGGCAGTGAGAGCGTGCACTGCGCTCCGGAACGCCCTACCCTCGTATCCTGGCTGCAGTGCTGCCATCTTACAGCCGCGTCAGCCAGGCTCTCCTGTGACGGGGCGGGGAAGAGCGCCAGTCCCCTCTGCAGGCAGGAACTCTCTATGGGGGGGAGGGGGAGGGTGCTTTATTTTTTTATTGTGTGTATGTATGTGTTTATATTGGAAAGGCAGATATATATAGAGAGAGAGAGGAGGAGAGACAGAGGGGAAAATCTTCTGTCTAATGATTCACTCCCCAAGTGACCACAATGACCAGAGCTGAGCCGATCCAAAGCCAGGAGCTCTTCCGGTCTCCCACGCGGGTACAGGGTCCCAAGGCTTTGGGCTGTCCTCCACTGCTTTCCCAGGCCACAAGCAGGGAGCTGGATGGGAAACGGGGCTGCTGGGATTAGAACTGACGCCCATATGGGATCCCAGAGTGTTCAAGGCAAAGACTTTAGCGGCTAGGCTACCGCGCTGGAGCCTTGAGGGTGTTAAACAGACCTACTGACCCTCGGCTGCTGTTAGTTGCAGCTCATGTCTGGGTTTTTAAAATCTGGGCTTTGGCTTTTCAGAAGTAATAAATGTTAAGGGAAACAGTTTACATGGCAGTGGAACCTTGAAGGCCGCCGTACGTGTGACCTATGGCTCCGTGGACGAGGGTTTGCAGAGGCCAACCCGGAAACTGACCCAGCTTCGGGAGCGATCGGGGCGTTAGGGGATCCGTGGTTGTGGTTGTGTTCCCGTCACAGTGGCAGCCCCCTGAGGGGTGTGTATAGTCCAGAGTCATTGTCAATGCTGGGATGGCTATGTTTGAGCAGTTTGTCTGCGGAGGTGATCACAAATGAGAGATGTGCCTGAAGGAAGCTTTTAGGCCAAGGGCGGAGCCGGAAGCTTAGATGCCACTGCAGCGTTCTGCTTTTGGGCTTCACGGTCGGCAGAAAGGGGTCTGCTCTGGGCTTGGCTGAGCACGGAGGGAGCTGTCGCGGAAAGCCAGGGTGAGGTCAGGACCTTCCCTGCTTTGCTTCTGCACTTCTGACTTTGTTTTGCTTTGCAGGACTACAAAGCTGATGAAGATCCGGCATTATTCCAGTCAGTCAAGACCAAGAGAGGCCCTTTGGGACCCAACTGGAAGGTACTGGATTCTGACCTTGCTGACAGGCAAAGTCTTGGCAGGGGGCACTCATGACAGGTCCTGAACCTTGAAGAGCTGCTAAGGTTTAAATGGAAAATAGGAATGGCACAAAAATAGCCTTCTTTGCGATAAGGACTTAGAGCCCCTTGCAGTTGGCCGGCACGCCTGCACTGCCTTGCCAGAGCGGAGCCAGACTGTCACTTGGAACGTAATGCTATGCTGATAACTGCTGAGACGGACAGCTGATTTAGTCTTTGGGGACTGTAATGTTCTCTTTTGAGACTTGAGGCGGTACAAAAAAAATCCATGCTAAATGAAGTTCATACTTGAAGTTTAGTCTTAGTAAAAACTGAACAAGTTCCCTTCAGCCAAGCTCCTGTCCCCAGCCTTTTAGAAATGGTTACGTTTTAGGAAAGCAACCTCCTGGGGAGCGATCCCCGTGGCAAGCAGTTGTTCTGGGTGAAGAGCACACCTTTATTTGTGCATGTTCAAAGCAATTACAAGGTGATTGTTTATGTAGCTAGAGAAATAGCATGCTTTTTCTTTAAAGATTTATTTATTGGAAAGGCAGATCATATTTATAGAAAGAAGGAGAGACAGGAAGATGTTCTGTGTGCTGGTTCACTCCCCAAACGCCAGCAACGGCCAGAGCTGAGCCGATCTGAAGCCAGGAGCTTCTTTCTGGTACAGGATCCCAAGGCTCTGGGCCTTCCTCAGCTACTTTTCCCACACCACAAGCAGAGAGCTGGAAGGGAAATGGAGCAGCTGGAACACAAACCCATGCCCATTTGGGATCCTGGCACTTGTAAAGTGAGAATTCGGCCATTGGGCTGTCAACACTGGACCCTGGGATGCATTTTCAAAGACACATCCTGTAACTGTAGCTGCCGCCTGTGGCTTTCAGCAGAAGGGCACCTACCCCCTAGCACGGAGTCCAGTGTGCGCGCGAGGTCCAGTGCAGGTCCTCTGGCCCCGCAGCCTGGCTTCCACCCCTCCCCAGAGTGCCCCCTGCTCCCTTGCTGCAGTAGTACCTGCCTGCCTGCACTTAGCCGGGACAGGCGGAGAGAAACTGCCTGAGCACCAGGCCCCGTGGCGCAGCTTCCCTGCTGGCAGAGCAGCAGAGGTGATAGTAACAGTTGCAGGGGAAGCAGTAACAGTTGCAGGGGAAGCGGCAAGGTGTTTGCTGTCTCTGGAGCCTTGATCCAGCACTAGTCACAGCTGTGTAAGGTGTAGAGGCACAATAGTGACGCCCAGTCACCACTCTGCACCATGTATGTCCTGTCACCATGGCCAGGCACGCTGTGTGTGGGATGTGCAGAGTTTGACCATTTCTGTTACAGCAGTACATTGTGTACACACACACACACACACACACACACACACACACACGGCACCAAGGGAAATGTGGTGCACATTCAGTGTGACTCTGTGGCTTGTGGCTTGGATGAACTTAATTTTTTTTTTTTTTTTGAAAGGCGGACAGTCATACAGGCAAGGGCACTCCTACGCAGTGATTTTCCTGCCCAGATGCCCACCACAGCCAAGGCTGGGCCAGGCTGATGCCATGAACTAAGAATTCAGTCTTGGTCTCTGCCCTGCGGGTGGCAAGGCCCCCCGTCTGCGAGCCGTCTCCTGCTGCCCCGTCTGAACGCGTATCAGCAGGAAGCTGAACTGGAGAACGGGGCACGCCCGGAGGGCAGGCAGGTGGCGTGCGTGGTGGCTGCACAGCCAGGTCAAGGGCTTACCCCGAAACGAAATGGCGGTGTTGTTTCCAATAAAATGAAGCTGTTGTCATGATCAGCACGCTCTTGTCTTTGAAAATCAGAAGCTCTCACCTGGCTCCCGGTTTGGGTTGATGAGCCCTCTGAGTGTTTCACCCCTTGCTAACCCAGCTACTCCGCCCGGCGGTTTCCCTCCCCGGGCCTCTAGAAATGGTTAGCCACCTGCCGCTGCCGTCACTGGCTCCAGGGTTGGTGGTGGACTTGGGCAGCTGGAGTGCAGAGGGCCGCACAGTTTGCAGAGCCTTTTCTAACAGGTATAATGGTCTTGGTTGGGAACAGATTTCCATATTTTCCACATTTGTTGGCATCACATGCTGCTGGTTTGGCCTGCTGTATCATACAGACCTTTCATTTTAAAAGCAAAACCCCCTCATTCCAGAGGTGTGGGCTTCATTTTCCGCGTAAGGAGGAGTTGCACAAGCCTGAGCCCAGAGTTACGTCTTGTTAGTCGGGGTTCGGCGCTTGGTTAAGTAGCCATGCAGTGATAGGAAGGCACTTTCTTGATATTTTTGTTGTTGATTTGAAAAGCAGAATTGCAGAATTCAAGGTCTTCCACTCATGGTTCACTCCCCAAATGGCTACAGTGGCCGTGGATGGCCAGACTCAAGCCAGCAGCTTCTTCCAGATCTCCTTCGTGGGTTTAGGAGGCCAAGACACCTTGGCCATGTCCTGCTTTCCCGGGTGTGTCAGCAGGGAGCGGAGATGCTGGCCTCACAGGCAGTGGCTTCACCCCCTGAGCCACAGTGTGCCCCCTAGCAGTGCAGTTGGTAACTTCAGAAACTTTTTTTTGCTTCAAAGTGGAATTGTGCATTGCTAACAACGTAGAAGTCTTTTTGGGCACTGTTTGTATGGATGGTGTACGTGTGGAGAGGTGTGTGTGCTGGCACGGGCATGACTGCCAGTTCTGGAGGCTCGTGGCGTTTCTCTCTGGTTGCCAGTTGACCTTGTCTGATGTGGGTGAACAGCAGTTGTTGTTTTAACAAATTAAAGCACTGCCTTTGAAGAGCACGGCTTTGTTTGTATCTTACGGCAAGCCCTTGTTTTCTTTCTTGAAACTTAAGTCAGATACCTCATGAAGATTTAAGCTTCTGTGTCTACATCAATCTAGTTATTAAGAACTGGGCCTCAAAAGGTCTTTGTAGAGGCTTTGCCAAAGCATCTATCTTTCAGTGTCTGGCTTGTCTCTGAAGCCTCATCTGGCACTCTGAGCGTTGGCATGTAAGGGCACCGTAAAGGAGTTGATGCGCAAATGATGTTTGTCTTTCTGTTAGCATCACACAGGTGCTTTTTCTCCTCATAAAGGTGTGTCAGGTTTGTCTTCTGGGTTTGTTAACTCCTCGAGCGTGGCCTGCTGGCCCGGCCTGGGCCTGCTTAGCTAGGTTGTAGTCTCCTAGCATCACCCCAGAGGGGCACGGGGTCCTGCACACCAGTGGGAGGTACCAGTTTTTCTTTTCTGACCGTGCTACCACAACTCCTTCTTGCTCCTTTACGGAATAAAAGGATGGCACACGCTTGGTTGTTAGTGGCCAGCACTAATGAAGTTTCAAGATTCTCTTGACCTGGAAATGTCTTTTGAGATGCTAACTGTTGAGAAAGTGACCCAGGGACTCCTCCCAGAAGGCTGTGTCCTTGACCTGGTAACCACCCTGGCAGCAAGGCTGAGGGTGTGCTCTGGTTTCTTGGTCTGCACACGTCACCAAGGCCAGGGAACCGTGGGAAGGCGTTTGACAGCCCCCTCTGTATAATTGCCTTGCAGCAGCGCCAAGCTTAATCCTGGGGTTCTGGTTGGAGCATGTTTGGGATCACAGGTGATAAAAGCAGACCTTCACACCAGCCCGCTCTCTTTTTCTTTCTGGAATACCTTGGTGGCTGGGTTTTTTAAAGTACGGATTTGGCTGGGCCAGGCCAAAGCCAGGAGCTTCATCTGTGTGTGCCACACGAGCGGCTCAGCAGGGCGCTGGCTCCAGCTGCTGTTCACGGCAGGCTGCTGCTTCACCTGCGGTACCACAGCACTGGCCCCTGAGGGGCGGGGCAGGATACAGGTCCTCCTGTGCTGGTTCACTCTGAAATGACTGCATTAGCCAGCCCGAGCCAGCCAGGAGCCGGAAACTCCCAACGTGGTCTCTGACATCGGTGGCAAGGACGTGAGCACCTTAGCCAAGTAATGCTACCTCCCAGTGCGTATTAACAAGGACCCAAATTAGAAACCAGGATTCAGACTGAACCTCCAGTTAGGGGTACTGACGTTGTCATGCAGTAACTTAACCCGCAGTGCCAGCCTGCAGTCCTGCAGAGGTAAAGAAGGTGCGAGTTTTGCAAAATACTTTGGAGGGATGTGGGAAATCGCCGGGCATCCTTGCATGCACAGTAAGCTTTGGGATGTCATCTGTCCGCCTCTGTGAGATGAGCCCGTGGCTGGTTCATCCTTGACTTCGCATTGACTTGCATTCAGCTCTTGCCATTTGGCAGCCAAACAGGCCTTGAGCCTGTGGACCCCGCCTGGGCTTTGTGACCTTACCCAAGCACCTGCTGCTCCTGGGTCTGGGCGGTGGTCCGCCCCCTCCTCCCCCTCCTGCCCTCTGCTTACCACCGGATTCTCTCACCAGTTTGCTTTCTGATTTATTTTGGTAAACACAAGTACTGGCACAGACATTGGCTCATTGTACGTGTTCAGATTTGCAGGAAATGGATTAACTGTCTTAAACCAAATGAAAATCTCTTAAATGTTGGTCCTGCCGTCATGTCCAACTTAGTTCCTGTCCAGATGGCTACCTGCACGAGATAGTGGGCAAGGCTGCCAGGTGGAGAAGAGAGCGGGCAGTGGGTGGTCAGCTTTAAGTCTCAGTGCCTGTGTCGGATGCTCCGGAACCTGGGTTAGTACCGATGGATGCCCATGCTGGCAGCAGCCCCAGCACTGCGTTTATTTTTAACTTTCTTTGCAAAATCTTGTTGGAAACTTGTATTACAGAATCAGTTGCTGAAATTGAGCATTCAGATTGCTTAAATTGAAAAAATTAACGCATGAAGGACATGAGCCTTAAAGAAACTGCTATGACTTTGCAGAGTGTTAGCTTGGGTTAAGTTGGAAAGTCAGAGAACTGCTGCTGGGTTAGGTCTCCAGTGGCCACAGTGGTGCAGACTGCATGTCCAGGCTCGTGTGTGGGTTACAGGAGCCCTTTTCCTCCTTCCATCACCACCACATCCTAGGATCTGCCCTGG